TCCTGGTTCGACATATCTTCAGGTACGTCCGACTCGCTCATCAGGCTCTCGCTCATGATCCTGCTCATTAACCTGCGCACGCTCCTCGGCATGTTGACCGAGTCAAAATCCAGCAACTCCTCGTCCAGCTCCTCCTCGGTACTGTGCGCACGCCGTTCCTCCTCTTCCAAATGCTCCTGCTCATTGTTGTCCATGTGCCTGACTTCTTTGACATCCTTCTTAAACATTTTCTTATCTTCCTGGTCGTTCGGAGGCGACGACGAGGGTGCGAACCTAGCGTGCACAGCACCAAAGTCCTTCATTTCCGCTTCGAGCGTCGCTCTCCGCATTAGTTCCGCCTGACTCAACGGCTTTGCCAACGCCGCCGCCACCAGTGGCCGCGCTGGATAAAACTGGAGCCGTTGATTCGTGCCTCGGCCGTTAGTTTTGGGATCCCACATGGTCATATTCGACTGCATCGAGGGCGTCGCGCCGACACTGCGGCGCCGCGCGTGCCGTTCTTGACACCGCGCTGCCCTGTCGTCGTCGCTCTCCTTTTCCTCGCTGTTATTGCTGCTGAAGCTGCTGCTGCTGCCCCGCGAATCCTCTGGTTCGGCCTGGAATACACTGCCACGTCGCACGATGGCCGACAGCTTGCCCAGCAGCACGACGCTGGACGAGCGCTCGCGACGACCGCCCGACCACGGCTGCATTTTTTCTAAAGGGCGAATGAGAAAATCCGCGTGGGAGAGTGGGAGCGCTCTGGGCCCAACAACGCGAAATGCGGCCAAGAACGAACCGCCGGCAGGAAGGAGAAAACCGTCGACCGATGGAGAATGGCCAGCCAGATGCTTTCTTCCTCTGGACTCGATCAGAGTGTGGTTGTGGCTGCTGACTATAATAAACTGATGAATCAAATTATCCTTCTTCAACTTTGTGTTCGTAATGTAGGCAGTTCTCTTCAAGTAGCACACAGGCTGCTGTTCTAGAGAGGAGATCACGTTGAGCAGGGCCCAGAATCGCCGTATTATCGTTGGTTATTTCCTGCAGTAGAAAGCAGCATAAGAATCCTAGATAACGAAAGCATCTTGCAAAGCAAACAACCACCTGGATCCATCTCAAATGAGCAGACACCCACATGAAAGAGTCTTGCCCAAATGCCATTTACTGACATGAATGCTTACGGTGCTGAACGTGATTGCCACCATTCGTACGTCAATCAGAAGTAAGGGTGGCTTGGCATTTGTTTTGACGAGACCGCTGGAGCGCTTGTTGCAGGCGTGCTTGGACATCAGCGG